TGTTTAACTTGTTGAATCTTTAAATTAATGATAATTTACTTGCATTTAAATTTCGAAACTCCTGTTTCATCCATTACTATTTATTTGGTGTTTATAATTCTCAATTTCATCAATTGAATCATATGTAATCATTTACACAATAATCACAAGGTGGATTTTTTTTCCCAAATCATAATTCTTTAGGTGCTGACATATGCCGAACATCAACACCTGAATTTTCCTTTTTCTCTTATTTTAAAAATGATTTTCTTATAATTATTTAGTGCAAAAATAATAGAAAATCATATTCTTTAAGGAAAAATATAAAATTTTACTTGATATTATCATACATATCTATTTCATTATATTTTTTAGCTAAATAAAAATCATCATCAAGGAATAGATCTGAAAGAAGAGAACTAAATAATTTTGAAATAAGAAATATACTTTACAAAAAAACTACTAAAATTGGAAAAACATTAACTTAGGGCCTATAAGGGTTGATTGATATAAAGCCCCAAATACAAAAGATAAAGAGAAGCCTAAAACTTGAGGCCCAACCAACTTGGAATTGGGCCATGAAAAAGAGAATGGTTAAAAATGACCTAAAATCTCAAGGATTCTCTTTAGATGTGGATGACTTGGGCATTCGTTAGATCAATTTTCAAAGTTTAGAAAATGATAGTGGAAGTTAAACTAGTTAAAAATGGTAAAACATAGTTTTGTTGTTGTAGCGGCGATGCGTTGAAATCATGAACATTTGAGAAGATTGTCATACAATGTGCACAACTTCAAAAGCTCTTCTTGGACAGAGATAACATGGGCAATCGCTATATCGTATTGCCAAGTCTAGAAATCAATAAAATGGGTTGTCAAATCATCTTCGACGGCTATCACCAGACGGAGCAAAAAAATAATAACTTTGTGACGGAGATAAGCTAGATGACAGTGGGGTGCATCTTAAGGAGCTTCATCCTTGGGTCCATGCAGCAAGAGGAGGCTCTTTGATAACATGATAATTATAGTGATAATGTCTATAATTTTATATACTTTTGAGCTCAAAAGTTCACCAAGATCATGTTATCATAATACAATTATGAATAGGAGTAATGATTCTGTGCTTATAAGGATGTAATTTTCCTGTATATTTTCTGATTATAGATATGCAACAAGCGAGGAAAACATGAGTTGTGAAGATGAAGTAGTTCATTTAGGCATGCGTGAAAGTTAGGGAGATACTAGCCAAATTATTGACACACCTACCAGAGTAGTATCCTCACCTACCATAGACCCACAGCATGATGAAAAGATTAGCCAAGTTGTTCTATCTTTGTTCTATACACACAGTCTTTGAAACATTTGTTTAGGAGAAAATAATACCGTACCAATTTAGGTAAGAAATATTGACATTTTAGGGAAATAGGATGAACAATGACATATGTAGAAGGTATAGATGAAGAAAACGTTCTAGGCGAAGTTAAGAAATAAGTAAATGGTCAGATTCATAAAATTAGAAAGAGGGGAATAAGCAATGGGTTAGCCCAACAAAGGTGCTGTCAAAAAACTCGTCTTCCTATTGTCCAAAATTAGAAACAGGAAAATGTGCAAACTCCACTGCCAACAATATGGAGAGTATGCATAGATTACGGAAAGCAAAATACAGTCACTAAAAAAGATCATTTCGCCATTCCTTCTATTCACAAAATTATAAAAAAATTGATATGACAATAATGCTTTTTCTACCTAGATGAATATTAAGGGTGTAACTAGGTTGGGATATACCTTAAGGATCAAGAGAAAGACGACCTTCATCTGTCCTTTTGGGAAATTCGTATTAATGGTCATTTTTTCTGATCTGATAGCGGAATATTTAGCAATCTTTGTGGATGATTTTTTAATATTGGGTTTATGTTTTATTGAATGTCTTAGAAATTTACGAAACATGCGTCCATGTATTTATCACATTAAAAAAACCATTGACGAAAGATCCTTTGAGCCGTGCACATCAGTGGTCATTGCCATGTGATCCTTGTACTACAGGAATTTTATATTAAAATTCAAGATACAAAAAAGTTTTCAAATGTTGTTGAAAAATCATTTAGCATGATTAAACAATGCTTATAACACCTCACGAAAAGATAGTTTTATCATTTGATCTTTCCTTTTCTCTCACTCTCCCTGGATCGATCTACTTCTCTTTCACTCGGTTTCGTTAGAGATGTTGTCCCTTCTCTCTCTGCTGAGTGCTTTCTCCCCTCCTTTCTTTGTCTCCTTTAAGCGAGAAATCTCATCCCTTCTCTCTCTGGTGAGAGCTTTCTCTTCTTTCTGTGCTTTCCCTTTCACGAAAAACCTCACTCTTCTATTTTTTCACGATGGATTAATAAATTCCTCTGGGTTTGACCTGAGACTTACTTCTGTACTAGTTTATATATTACATAGTGTGTATGTAAAAAATACGACAAGTGCACACTAGTAACACAAAAAATGTGCACTGTGGGGTGTAGACAAAAAAGTATCAAGTCACAGGATGACTCCTCATCAAGTAATATATTATTGAAATATATTAGATTTGTTTCATACTAGAGTGAAGGTTTTGTAAAGTAGGTTTTATTGGCCCACTTTATCCAAAGACTCTTTGATTAAAGTGTCAAGCATCCATCAACATCCATTAACAAGCAAAATGCTATTCCTTTTAATTCGATTTTAGTAGTAGAACTCTTTGATATATGGGACATTGATTTCATGGGCCCTTTCCCCCAATCTTATGGATATGAATATATTCGCTCAGCTATTGACTTTGTCTAAATGGGTGGAAGCAATACCCACTGAAGACAAATATTCCCTCGCTGAGCCTGTGAGCATCATTGAAGATGCAGGGAAATAATTTTTAGCTAACCAGATATGGAGTGAAGCACAAAATGACAACCCCATATCATCCTCAATCCAATGGGCAGGTAAACTTAACCAATAGACAAATTAAACGAATTCTAGAAAAGACAGTACAACCCCATAGGAAGGACTGGTTTGCACATTTGAATGATACTCTTTTGGCTATGAGGACTGCCAATAAGACACCTCTAGCTATGTCCCCATTTAGGCTAGTAGTTGAGAAGTCTTGTCATCTCCCAGGTGAATTATAACACAAGGCATATTGGGTATTCAAATAATAAAACCTAGATTTAGTTGACGCAATTATTTAAAAGAGCTAGATAAACTCGGAAATGAACCATATTGGATTATAGTTTAAATGTCATACTAAAAGAAAAGATTCAATGTAGATATGGTTTTTACGTGAATTTATATTGTACATTGAATCACATACAAAAGTATGAAATTCTATATATTTTCTATAGGTGTTATCAATCAAAAATATTATATGTTATGTTTTAATCAATATATTGAAGTACTCATAGATAGCAGCGAGTCAAGTCACACTCTCTAAATGTTAATTAGAAATTAATTTGAACCTAGTGTCACTGCTCCTTCTTCTTGCATTCACTGAAAGCAACAGGAGAGATCTCGTTCAAACAAAAAGTTGAGCTTGGAAAACCATAAGCCCTAAACCTGCATTCACATGATGTGGAACAAAACCTGTTCCAGACATAGGTTTTTCCCCAAAACTAAAGTGCGGTGTTCCCTCTCTTTCGATCCTCTTTTGCTCGCTTCTCTCGCACCTCTTGTGTACACGTGAGAAACTGCCCGAAGGTTGTTGACCGATTGGATTCTTCTGCTGCCAGAATGCTGCATCTTCATAGCTGCAAGTGATGGTTGAGCTGCTGTATCACAAAAGGAAATTCAATTATTAAAATAACATTATTCAATCAGATAGCCAAATGTTTATGAGGGGACTAATTTTGAAACATCTTAAAAATCACATTTATTAATTTAAGCAATACCTTAATAATACCATAGACACTATTCCTGTTTTATTAGACCCCCCAACTTCTCTCATTGGTAATCACTTAGCATTGGATTTAGAATACTTCTGTTGCTATGACTTTTTTGTGGTGGACTTCATCAATACCTACTTCTTTTTCTCACTAGTTTACTTTGTCTAAAGACTAGCTTTCGTTCTTTGAATCCTTTTCCTGTTTGGCTTATATGCACTAAACTTTTGACTTGTAGTTCCAATTCCACAAGCTGGCCCTTCTCATTTTTTTATACCATGCAAGTAACTTTTCACACAAAGTTTGACTTGTAGTTCTTTTTTTGTGCATGTGTTCAGGCTTGGTTGAGAAACATGAAATTATGTTGGAAGTCTTGCTGATTCGTTGATACTTCAGCTAGCTCTAATAGAGTTCAACTCTTTATCTAGTAAGACATGACGTAATTTACTATGCCAATTCTAATATAGAGATATATCAATTTTCAAAGTTTGTGCTCGGATGTAAGAAGGTTTCGAAAAGTAAGAAGCATAATAAGCTTGTGCTTTTCTTACCCGTAGCATTGTAGCCACCCCCCAAATAGAATGATGCAGTGTCCTCAAGACACTTCAAAAGAAAGAGGAATGAAAACAAGAGTTAAAGTTACCAAACCCATAATGATGGTTTAGGAATATCCACTTTCAACTTAATATATTGACCTCTATAAAAGAATATAGCTCAGGAATTGATACATAAGAAAATAGAAGGAAAACAATCAAAATAAACGAGAACTTTTCTACTATGACAGTCAGCAGTTGCTACTAAGATGAGAAGACTATAAGAGACTCCTGGAGATCACAGCTGCTGGCTGATCGTGCTGAGAGTATGGTTTGAGATGCTGGCTATGAACTTTGAAGGTTTCCCCTATTTATAGATCTTAAATGAAAACAGCTGCACAATTACAGATCTACAAAATAATGTAACGCCATCCCAACGATCAAACTTTAAATTATTGATTGTCAGAAAATGATTTACGTAATCAAAGTTTTTGATTTTCATAAAATGATTTACATCTTAAATTATTGTTATGAAAATTTTTAAGTTTGGCTTTTGTTAACGCGAGTTTTCTGATAAGCTTCATTACATAGCTCTTGACGTTCATGTATTTGAAGAATAAGAATGGTGCTCAAATTCAACCAGTAGATGGCAAAATTTACCATAGATAAGACGATAAGGAGACATGCCGATGGGGTTTTCATAACTTGTTCTATAGGCCTACAAGGCATCAGATAATGTTGCTGCCCAATCCCTTACCATTAGCTCGAACAATCTTTATCAAAATGTTTTTAATCTTACTAGTTCAATCAAACAATACTTGGCCATTAGCTTGGGGATGATATGGGTTCAAGATCTAATGTTAAACACCACACTTAATCAAACTCCTTAAATGAGTACTGTTAAAGTTAAATCCCCCGTCACTAATGATGACACGAGGACAGCCAAACCGAGAGAGCATATGCTGAAGAATAAACTATAGAAACAATTTTCTGGTCGCTGGTTCTACTAGGTATGGCATCAACCCGTTTGTAAATAAAATCTACAGCCAAAACATAATCCATAGTCAGAGATGATTCACTTGATGGATTCACGAGCCTTTCAAAAATTTAATAACAATGCTTTGCAAACTGCGTTGACGAGATTTTTGTTGATGATCCTGGGATTGTAACGGCTTAATCTTTCACCAGCGATTTGCTCGAAACTCACAAAAACTAGATTAAAAGACAAGTTCTGGCTTTGGAAGGATTCAGACCCATGTCAGTTATCTGACTGCATAAGAAATATTAAAATAAATAGTCTAATGCCCTAATGAACTGATAATATTATGGTAGTATAAGTAATAGGTAGTTTAAGTATTAAAGTCTTCAAAGCCGTTCGGGGGAAGGTGTTATGCAAGTTTTGTCTCACATCACTTGTGCGCTGAAGTTTTGGACAAATATATAGTAATATCACCTTGGCAAGCAATGAGTCTCTTTCTCCTGTGTATACGAGAACTCCTTGCTCCACAGCTACCTGGGCACCGGTGACGTGAAAGGCGAGTAAGGAACACGTGCCCCCATCAGTCCTAGCCACTCGAGCCCCTGCGAACAGCTCCCCTTGATTGTGCTTCCGACCTACTTGCGGGCCTGACTGGCTGGCAGGTCTCCTCCTTTTACTATATTTTTATTTGAATGTCTTTTTCTTTATTTATCTTAAAAATAGCAATACAAAAAACTTATTAATTCATAAAAGGTCACATAATTAGTCAAAATTTTACATTAATCAACTGAAAACACTTTTACATTAATCAAAATTCATAAAAGGTCACATAATTATTATAAGTTTAGACTAAAATTATATTATTTACCAATTATTAACTCATGATAATGAAGACTTATCAATATCTCTGTAACAAAACTTGTGAAAGCTTACAATTATCATTTTTTGAAGATAAAAGTCAAGAAACTAAAAGCATCTTCATTAAAAATAAAATACATAGAATGATCGGCACTAATAATGTCAAAAAACCAGTTCCATTTGATGAGTAAGATTTTCCACAGGTGTTGTTAGTCCCTAATCTTCTTAATCAAAAATATTATGAGTTATGTTTTAATTTGATTCACGGAATTGTCATAGATAAGAGAGAGTCAGGTCATCTCCTCAAGAAATTTGAGGGTTACTATTTATTGCCCATTTTATTGAATGATGGAATGGGAAAGAAAATGAGGGGTCATGGATTGGAAAAAGAGAAGAAGGTGTAACGATGAACCCAAATACATTTTTTCAGATCTGGCCTGCATAAGAAGGGCTTCAACTATTTGTAATTTTTACTTTTTACTTCCTAACTAAAATATAATCTAAACTAAACGAAACATGCTTCATCTCGAAGCTAACCTAGTGTCACTGCTCCTTCTTCCTTACTTTCATTCGGAAGAGGAATTCACTCGAATCAGCAGGAGAGACCTCATTTAAGTGAGATGAGGAGCGCTCCGGATTGACACACCTACATTCTTAATCAAAAGCTGTTTGGGACATAGGTTTTTCCCGAAAAATATAGGGTGGTGTTCCCTCTCTCTCCTCTCTCATTCGCTCGCACACCTCTTGCGCATGTGCGAGAAACTGCCATACTTCATCGAATCAGTGGACTCCTTTCTTGTGAGCTCTTTGGTGAGCCCTCAGATCCTTCTCCTGTTGAATTGCTGCCTCTTCCCACCTGTGAGTTGGGCTGCTGTATTATAGTCATTGATGAAGTGGCTATAATCTGAGGCATAAATTCCTAAATCACTGGAAAATGATTAGAAAAATCACAAAAGTATATTCAATGTCTAAAATAATATAATTTAAATATCCAAATGCGTATGAGGAGACTAATCTCATAAAATTCTAAGAAAAATTAAATATATTACTATATCTTGAAACATGTTAAAAATCATATTTATTAATGTAAAAAACACCTTAATAATATCATATAAATGTATTGATATTCCAGCACATTCTTCATGTGCTATCAATATTCTATTGAATCAAAAGGTTTTTTTATGCAATGTTGTGTATTGTAATAGATGGAAAATTTATATTTACATGCAAGAAAGTTAGAAGAAGGGTAATTAAAATTTTAAATGAATTCTCTATAATTTTTAAGTGTTGAATGAGTTGAATGGCATACCAATTACAGCCGGCCCACTATTAGGTCACATACCGGCCCATTCTAATGGGGGGTATTTAAAAGGAGAGAGAGTAGAGAGAAAAGGCAGAAAGTGCGCACAATCAGCAGAAATTGGGGCTCGTGGAGAGAAGACAGAAGAGGGTGACGAGCAGAAGAACATGCAATCACGACAATGACAGCCACCACCATAACACCAGCGACAACATCGGCGGTGGCGGTGAGTCCCATTCTGTGTGACAGATAGAGAAAAGGCCGAGCACGACGGTGGTGGCACTCATGACAGCGACAGTAACAGTGGTGATGACAACAATAGAGGCTCCAAACTCCCATTTTGCATGACAGGCAAAGGAGGAGATGAGCCCGGCGGTAGCAATGACAATGATGAAAATACACTATCGACATTAGCAACAGCAGCTGCACTCTCAGGCTTCGAATTAAATGTTTTACTTTCTTCACACTAGTTCTGTATTTCTTTTTCTTTACGAATGCTGCAAATAGTGGATTATGTTAGATTTTCAATACTCACTGAATTTCAACACACTAACTATGTATTTTCTACAATTGTCAATACAATCTAGGGTGCCCTCTCGAACATAGGTTGTGTTCTGTAAGCAAACTAGCTACTGGCAAATGTGTTTTCACCTGTCTTTTGTTACAAATTTATAATATTTCTCGTATCATTTTTCCTTTTTTTTCCTCTCATTTTGAGTTCGGGAAAGATCTAAAATTGGTTTTAGGTCTACTTTTCCTTTTCATTCCTTTTTGTATCTCTAGCCTCATCCAAACATTTCATAGAAAATACTCCATCACATAATTCCAAGTTTTTCTTGTAGATCGGCCCAAATCCACTATGTATTATAAATAACTGAAAACATAATTTTCAGAGATTTAGTTTTAATAAATTTTAAATTGTAGTACTTCTTAAAACAATGACTAGAGTAATGACTAGAGTAACATCAATGACCTGACTGAAATGGGGCTGAGTTGAATGGTGATTCACAAGAGATGAATTGTCATAACATCTTAGTCACAAGCACAATGGAGACTAAAGAAGTAGAGGGGTAAATAAGACAGAAGACTGCAGCAAAATAAATTAAAAAATATTAAATTACAAAACTGAAAATAGACTCCTAAAAATGCTTCACCTTTTATAATTGTGAAATAAATAACCTCCTCATATAAGACCTAAGGCCCTTGAATGAAAACACTCTATGGTTAACTCTCCATTCTATTGATCAATAAGAGAATACTATGTCTTCCCTATTAATAAGAGAATATAAAAGATATTACAGCCCTGCAGGATCGCACACTATCAAAATTAATGAGTTTTGTCCACTCAAATAATAACTACATCCCACAATGAAGAACTCACATGCCTTCTTTGCCCATTAATTGATAATTTAGCACAATCATAATGACAAGTATCAAAAAATTTCATGATCTCATAAAATACTTTATTATTGAACAAATTGAGTTTGCAATCTGATAAGTAAGATTACATATCTGGTTTTTTTTGTTTACATGGGATTTTTAAATGGTGTTAATTGGGGAATTTAAAGTGGTCAATTTTTACTTATTTCTCCACATAAATCTCCATATAACTCAAATTTCATTCAACATCTGTCAATCAATCAAGAAATTCTTCATTACCAAGATGTGTCTTTAACATAGTAGAGCCACAACTTTGAATTCATCATTCAAAGTTGTTCAAAAAACCAATAATAGGTCAATAATTATTCTATCAAAGTTTCCCTTATGCTAAGTATAAGGTCAATAATTATTCTATGCAATAGGTTTTCGTTGCAATCCTAAGTATAATTGTTAATGATTACCATCATTAGCATCATTTTATTATTGGGCTCAGGTTTAGTCATCATCATCCTCATCATCAGCTATTTTAAGGTATTCTGCATGCCATATAGCTCCACTTGATTCTCACTTCAACCATAAGGCATTTAACACTCAAGAATGTCCCTACCTGATGAACATTGTTATTCATTACCCTGCCTCCATCATATATCGAATGGATTATAACAAACGAATCTAGGATTTGAAACATTGCCAAATAGAACTTGACATACTAAACCCAATCCTTGAACTGAAAAAGAAAAAGGGTAAAGAATTTACAAAGAGCATTGAAAATGCTTATTGCTAGTTTGAAACAGATAAAAAATTCTATCTTCCATGGGTTGAATCATACGAAGAAGGCATCCTTAATTTGGAAACCACCAAAAGGCAATATTGCAATACCTTTAAGAACCTTTTTATAAAAGCCATTATCAAATATATTTAGTATTTTCATCTAATAGGACTAGTAGGTAAAAGCTATTAATAAAGCCATGATAATCATGATGTTAGATCATTACTTTCAAATCATTTTAATATCAAATTATTCTATTGAATTTAGACCACTTATTTTATTATGTAGGATTTTCAAAATATTATCAAATAAACATTGAAAAACATCTTTAAATATTTTTAATTTAAAAAATTGTGATTATAAATATCAAGATTGTGATCCATCTACTTGATAATCATA